CTCAATGACAAAATAAACTGGGGAAAAGACTATGACAAAACCTCAAACTGTTCATCAATTAGTCTCTTTTTACATTTCATGATAAAGCATTTTTGTATGCACCCTAAGTTTGGACTAATTGTTTTTCAAATGCTAAAAGTTGAATCTTGTTGTTGCCAATTAGGTTCACTCATAGTTTTTTTTTTTTTTTTTTTTTTATATATAGTGAAATATGCCCACTATGGATATAAAACTACTGTTAGATTAGAGACACTTTGAGTATACATTTGCATGAGTACACTTGTAGCCTATACCACTGCGCACAATATTAGAAGTGTTTGGAAGTGCCTCTTTTTAATCATATAAAAAGCTATCAATGCTGTTTCTTCCGCTCCCAGAAAAGACTTTTGTTTCTTTGTTGCCTCTGTCTAACGACTTTGACAGCTAAATTGTTCCATCCTTGCTCTGTTCCATTGCGCGCGGAACACTTTTATAGCTATTCTCCCAACATGTAAAGCGCCACCAGCCACGGACACGAGTGACCTGACGCATGAACGCAGTTACGCAGCCTATCCCCGGGTTTTATGTGTACGTCATGTGTTACTGATTTGTTTTGACAGCGTTGTATCCACTTGGCTGACGAGTGCTGGTCCCGGGATCTGGTCCGGTCCGGCGCGTCCTGTGCGTAAAGGAGTGCCACGGCCGGGCAATGAATACTGTGTGGCTCTGAAGGAGAGAGTTAATGAAGTAAAAATTAATGAAGCACGTGAGCAGCCACCATCTCGAGGCTGTAAGCGCTGCCATGGCCCATTTATAATGTATGATCTCAATAAAAATCAATCCATTGTACCAGTACTTACTTAGAATAGATTTACCGATAACAGCCCTGTGTTCCCTTGGTCATAATTACCCCCCATGTCCACCCCTCCCGTCCCTTTTTTGACAAAGTGTGCGAACTTCACAACATAGAGCACTCAATGTCATTCTCTTTCGTTTTTGTATTGGAATATTAGTCTGCAGCCAGTGCTTTTAAATCCTTTTTAAAACACAGCAGACCTTATAATACTTTCTGATTTGCATTGAGTCGTTTTTTGGGACTTTTAAGGTGAAGCTCTAATAACCCTTTCACTTTTCTTATTGTGTCTCGTTCAGGACTTGTTGAAAGTTGGAAACGAATGCTCAAAGTACAGTGAGTCGCCTGTATTAGAGCTCCCCCTTCAGGCGCAATACAGAAGTAAGTACTTGCATATTCGACAGCACATGAAACTGCAATTGCTTTTTCTTCAATACTCAGCGTATAGATTAAACAATTCGTACGCAAAATATAAGCAAAAATAATATTATTAACCCACTTGTCAACAGAAACGCCAAATACAAATTAATTTATAATGAGTAATTTGAAAATAATTCAGCTTAGATCTTCAAAAATAAACTGAGCAAACCTGCAAGTTCCAGGTACACCCTCTAAAATATGAAATAAGTTTAAATTATAATGTATCTATAACACAAAATACTTTATCAAAATTCTTATCACCGCCATAGCCCTCAGGAAAAATCAAACCTTCAGTAAATTTGCATTGTTCTCAGATGCCATTTAATCAAAAAGTAAATATTCTTTATTTGGTTTTGGTTTATTCTAGTGTGAAAAACTACTCTCCAGCATACTTTGACTATGTACCGTTCGGCTTAACACGTTCAAAAAGTATCCAAAATGATAAGCAGTTTATTTTGTTTTTATATAAACTAGACTAGCTTCGAAGTCGCGCTAGGAGAAGTGGAATTGTCAGAGTCCCCCGATGTGTCTGCCCCTCTAGCTTCAGGGAACAATTCACTATTTATAATGTCATCTTATCACGCTCCCCTCCAAGGCAGCGCTAGTGCACTTATGGCTTCCTTTGTTAGGGTGAGTTGGCAATTTCCTGGGAGATGGAGCAACTGCAGGCAGCCCCTTTTCTCTGATAATGTCCCTGACACCTGGACCAAACCGCTGTTTCCATCAGTCCGGCTCCTGCCACCCAGAGTCACTCACGGTGTGCATTTACAAACAGCACTCTGCCCGCCTGAAGCACGAGGAGGGCAGGCATTCTTCAAGAGGGAAAGTTCTGACAGCAAAATAGACTAGTTTATTTTTGTTGTTTTAAAATATGTGACTGTGTGACTTTTTAACACTGACTTTGTATTTAAATGCGAATCCTTTCTACACAAACTTAAGAGAAGGTTGATTACATGGTAGTCTACGAGCTTGTTTAGTCATGCAAATAGATGATTCATTAACATATCTAATCCTATAGCGTCTCCCCGAGTAACTTGTGGCCCTATAGTCACATTCATGAGCTCCTCTTACTTAACCCTTGTGGAAAGAAACAAAAAACAAAGGCATGAAAGTGAATTGAACAAGGCTTTTCTCTGCACACTTTACATTTGTTAGCAACAGAGATAGCTTCACTACATGACACCTCTCACAGCAAAACAAGAATGGTCCAAGCTCCCTCTAGCCACTGTAAATCCATTGGTTTACTTCTCCATACATTTGATCACAGTGGCACAACTTCACTTACATAAATAAAAGCATAAAAACCAAATGGGCTAGTCATCTAACACATATTTTAATAGTTGAAGCTGTATGATTGCAGCTGATGTGGTGTATACAGCTATGTTTGATTGACTCGTCCCAATAAATGAATCCATATATCACATCATAGTAAGTCTAGTGTTACTTAAACCCCATTGGATCATCTTAAGCTTAAAGAAGCTCAACACAGCACAGCACAACTTAACTTAGGCAACTTCCAAATTGTTTACGTGCAAATAAATACACCTTTTAATAAAAAAAAAAAAAACTACTGAAAGAAGTATTCATTATTTTTTCTTTATTTCAGACACAAATATTATTCAGTCCATAATTAAAAAGAAAAACTGACCCTTTGACAGTTTAGTAAAAGAAGTCCTCAAAGTGCGTTCCCTCACACACATACCCATACACAGTGTGGCTGGTGGCTCATGTCTCTGGGTGTCCCGCATGGAGCACTGGTTAAGCACCGATTCTAAAGAGTGTTTATGGCTGTGGCCTGACAGACTGCTGCTAAATTATAATTAATCAGTTGATTCGGAGTCACAGATTGTGATTGTGCCCTGCGACTTTTCATTTATGGAGCTTTTCTTCTGGCTCGAGTACAATCACAGTCGACCTGCAGGACTCTCTGGCAAATTAACAGTCTTCACGCTACCCTGCCGCCATAAATGAAAATATCAGTCAATCAAAAGCCATATTATGCTGAGAAATCCAACCACATCTCTCCAGTCCCGCATACAAATACAAAGTGCAGAATAAGCGCCAGGGCTGCTCCACATTTTAAGTGAATGGTATATAGGCGGGCTTATAAATTATACATTTCATTTTACATACGCCCGCTGTAAGTGAGCAGACCCCTCCTCCGTCCACACTACAGCGAGTACATGAGTGACAAACTGTGCTTCAGCATGTCCTCAACAAAGTTCACATGGCGTAGTGGCTTTACACGGTATTTCTGATCCAATTTTAGCACCATGTTTATATTTTATAGTAATGATGTTTGTTATTCATTATTGCCCTCCAACAAGATTCATAGTGACCCAAAACAAGAGCGATGCTGAGTGAATACAGTTAAAATACTTGTGTGTCATTCAGGTGTCCGAGAAGCTGCTGTGATGTTCTCCAATCAAATACAAGGAAAACAGGTACAATATGTTTGTTTTTTAAGTGTCATAGCGAACAAATTTACATATTTTAAACTGATTGTGTATTGTGTGGCATGCTGGCTACTGACCTTTTGGTTTTAGGTGGTCAAACAAGTAGAGATCATTAAGGACTAAACCTTTTTTAATAGACACTACAGTGTACTGGGCCAGTATTATAATTAGTTTATAGCAGTCCAGTGTTGCTACTATGTTTTCTATGTGAAAGTGCACATTAAACACTAGATGTGGGGCCACGGGAATGTGTTGGAGCAGGGCCCATCTGTGCCCTTTCCCACCCATGTGTGCGTGTGTGTGTAGGGGGGTGATCTATGTCCTGAGTCAGGTGTGTGGAGTGTCCCCCTGCTTGTGTGTGTGTGTGTGTGTGTAGGGGGGTATGGGGGGTGATCTATGTCCTGAGTCAGGTCTGTGGATCTGCTCCGAGGGCACTTGAATCGTCCCTCCCGACAGGTACCCCACAGCCCGCCGCCCAGCACTACTCATTTACTGCTACACTGGTTTTCATAATTAGCGCTGCAAGGCCTCATTAAATCTGCTCTAATGAATAAATATTGTATTTCATAGCCTGATTACCAGATCAGCTCAATGCTCGAGCGTTGTAAACAATTACTTCCCTAAATATTCATCATCCCAAAGTGGATGATCATTGGTGTTTAATACAGGACTAGTATTCTCAAGTGCATCTTTATTACCCTAATAATAGTTTCTCAAACATTTCATATTTGAGGAGGAAAAAGAGGGAATTTAACTAAAACAGTTGATTGATTTTGAAATAATTTTGTTGTGCAGATAATTCTTTGTTGAAAAAGTAATTAGTATCTATTACTATATGATTACAATGTCAATATTGGCTTTATTTTTTTATCAATATCTGAGTCTAAGTACATATGTCTCCCTGCAAATGGTTAAGTAAGTAAATACAATGTGCTAGTAAGTTGACACATATTCTAATAGTTGAAGCTGTGTACATAACATCAGCTGCAAATCCTGTTTAGTAACCATGTTTCCATGCATTGTCACTGTAAAAATGCATCTGTATTAAATGTTTTCTATCACATCATTGTTAATCTAGTGCTACTTAAACCATATTGGCTAAGCTAAATTCTAAAATAAAAGTTACAGGTTTGACATTTACACACATGCGTACACTTGGACTCTCTCATTAAAATACTATTTTGCTGTTTTTCATACATTTGTAACAGTCCCATTACTGTTTATTAGACTGATCAAATAATAGTAATTATGCCACTGTCAAGACTGTCATATTAAAAGAAAACCCCACAATATTCTGCATTTAAGACTTTAATGAAAATGAGTTAAAACAACTCAAATATGAACAGAAACAATTACACATTACAGTTAATCTCAGACAGAAAAAAAAATGCAGCTCAACTTCCATACAAAACAAGATAATAGAACCGTTCATCTTTGGGCAGGTCACATCAAGTACATTTGAAGGGCTCAAGTATAATGTCAGGTCATTTCCAGTGGAGTTTCACACTTGTGAGGGGAAAACGAAGCTCATAACTCCTGCTGCCACTTGAGCCAGTCCTATTTAACAGTACAGGGCAGAAATGAGGCAGAGAGACTGGAGCAGAGCAGCAATGTGCTTTTAACAGGATCCAGTGATTTACAGGTATGAGCTCCCCATTAGAGTGTGCTAATTGTTTCCACTCCATTAGCGATGGTTATCTAATGAAGGGGATTTAAGCAGCCGCTCCACTATATCACACTATTCCTCTTGGTACAAAATGGGAACAGTGCCTTTTTTAAACCTGTACAATGTGATAGCACCAGGACTATTCAGCCATTTCAGCAGACCACATAACATCTGACAACAGACTGTATAAAAAAAGGCACCAAGTGAAATGTTACAGCTTAGTTCATATAAAAAGGGTCTGTACAAAACAAATTACATTTAAAACAATGTAACACTTTTGAACAAGTCTAAAAAGAAAATACTTCTCCTGAATGGGGCAAGGATAACGTGTTAGGAAATATGTACAAAAAGGTTAAAGCGAGTTCAGACAAGCCTTCTGTGGTCTGAGTAGAACACCAGAGAACTTTAAAAATACAAACTATGTAGAATTACCAGTCATGTGGAATCCAGGAAAAATAAGAGATCAAATTTTTTAACAATTTTTAAAAGCTCGGTCTATCAAACTGGTAAAAAAAATGTGGTTCATTTGATTTTGCATACATGCCTATGGACAGTAATGCCTTTTAACAATGTCAGTACGTTCAAGTGTAAATCTAAATGTGGTGAAGGTGCAACAGCAAACAGCTTTGATGTGCTCTTCACTCGCCGCTCTCCTCCAGCTCCTTCTTCAAACTGCAGAGAAAGTCAGTGGTAAAACAAGAGCCAGACAAAGACCAGAGTAAATGAGTTTCTATACAAACCTTTTGAGGTAGGCATGCACATTGTCATAGCCGTGATATTTAGCCAGATAAACCAGGACTCCAGTGGCACAGCGGCCCTCTCTTGCCCGGCAGAAGCTGCAGTTACAGATCCCTCTGCATGGCGGGCACTGCCACTCCTGAGAGCAGATGATGGGTCAGACTTAACACCAAAGACAGTTAAACAGATACAATGTGAGGTTCTGAGACTGACCGGATTCAATAGAGCGTCTCTCACTTCCTCTCCGTAACGGTTACGGAGACATGGTCCACAAAACTGCCCTCTCACCCCAACACATTCAGGGTTGCGGCAGCAGGTTTTGGTGTCAATGGTCTTCTGTCTACACTGATGACAGGTTGAGCCCTGAGGAGGAAAAATAAATCACAATTGATCAGCTGTTTAACATCAGATACCTAACAGTGCGTCTCAACTTTGCACATACTGTGGACTGGTTGTAGACTTTCTCCCGAACATTATTGCAGATGCGATCCAGCTCGAGCTCTGTGATCTCTTCCACCGGCCTCACCACATGAGGAATGGCCTTCATGCCACTGTAGGTGCGCCGACGAGGCTGTGGGCACAAGACACTATGTTTAATAATTTATTCCTTATGGAATACAGTACAGTATACAAAAGGAACCTACAGGCTCATCCACTTCCTCATAGTAGCGGCTCTTGCGCACCAGGCTGAACTTGTCCTCGGGGTCTTCCTCCTCAGGGGTGGGGCTGGGAGGCCCATCCACCAGAGAGCGGGAGCGAGTGTGTGGACGGGTCAAACGCTCTGGGTTCTTCCGAAGTGCTCTTGGCGTTCTAACTTTCTGAGGACTTTTCCTTGGCTAGAAGAATTCAAAACAGATTAATATCGCCCACTTAAAAAAATCTCAAATCATCATAAATATACACAGAATGTAACTTACTGTGATAGAGGACTTTGCCATTCTCCCAGGGAAAAGCCCAGGAACTTTGTTCAATTCGGACATAAGTTTTGCAAGCTATGGAACATTTCAGAGATTTTAATAAAGCAGTAGTTATACACCATCAGTAATAGTTGTGTAATAAATGATTTTCACCCCCATACCATAGCTTTGTTCTCTTTAATATTCAGCGCCCTCTTTTTGATGAAGTCGTCCTCCTCATCAGAGTCAGCAGCTTTGGGCTGAGGCAGTGGTTCAGAGACGGGCCTCTTTTTGGCCGTGGTTTTTCTGGACGGGAAACTCAAGGCCACCTTCAGTCCACTGGATTGGCGCGCACGTTTCGGAGAATCCACTTTCTAGAACAACATAAACTTCATTATTAGATCTTTATTATCACATATAAAATACTTGTCCACACCATGGACACTTACCATGGCCTTCATCCGGCTGCTTATCACATGGGCCTCAAACCCACTGCAGGTGTCCTCATCTGATGCATTCGCCACTGGCTTGAGCTTCTCTGCTGGCCTTTTCTGCCGCAGACTTCTGCGCTGCTATAACAAAACACAGTTGAAAAAGCTGCACATAAGGGGACAAGACCAAGCCTCTACATTATAGTATAATGCTTACAGTGTTTGCAAAGCCTCCATCAGAGCCAAAGCTGTCACAGCTGTCATCTGATGAGGAGGTTTCCATAGGAACCAGAGGGACGCTGCGAAAGTTCCTCAGACTTCTGGAGGACGCCGACTGTGCGGCTACTCTCTGGACAAGAGCAAAAAGCATGGATTTAAAAACATAATTCAGGTCAGACAACAGGGTGTTACAATATGCGTAAATTTAAGTCTCATTTTATTGGTATTTTGGTGTAATATTTTAAATAGTCATGTTATTCATTTAAAACAACTTAATACCACGCTATGGACTTGTGTTTGCTCACTCACATGGGCACGTCCTTATCATGAGACACACCCTGTTGTAAACATGACCAAAGATTTGTTTCTGGCTGAATCTTATGAACACTGCATTGCTCATAAAGATAGATAGATGAATAAATACTTTATTGATCCTCCGAAAGGGAAATTCAGGCTTATAATATTTTGAGAAAGTGGTATGAGTTTACCGTTATAGCAAACTGATGATACAACCTGCAAATTCTTCATCTTTTCCATTTGCACGTATTTGAAAAGCTAATCAACTAACATTGTTTTTAGTTCATGTACACAAAAATAAGTTCAGAACAGTAACAATACAATGCAACGTGAAATTTGGTTTTGAATCAAATTCCACGTGTATTTAGTAGTATATTTACAGTCAACACCCTCTCTGTATCAGTATAAACAACATGCATAAGATATAGGATTTAAAAGCATAGTGTAGTTCTTACCATGGAGCGAGTAGTAGGCATTTTCTCTTCCCACAGTGGAGCCAAAAAGTGTCCAAGTCAGCGCGCGCGGAGGGGCACAGTGAAGTGAACAAAGCTGCAACTTCGCGCACAACTACCTCCGTTCATTTCGCGCGCCCCTGACGGGTCCTAGAAGTACCACACAAAGTAAGGCGACGAAAAGCAAATTACACAAATACTGATTTTACTTTAGAGTAGCGATGTTCAAAACATTTTAAATGCAGAACGTCGAAAACACGAGTTTGTTGTATTTCCAATGCTGACATGCACGTTTTTGATACGGTTTATGAAATAAAGCGATGGATCTTCCGGGACTACAACAAACCGCGCGAACAAACCCCGCTCAATTTGCATACTCGGCGGGTAAAAGGTGGAAGTAGTGATGTGGGACCTCTGTCCTGGGGTTTATGCTGGTGTATGATTATAATTAACACATTGCCTGTGTTTGTTATGATGACAGTAAACTATATCTTTAATTTAAAAACAAAACTACCAAACCTGAGAAATATTCATGGAGACCACCTTGGTCAAAAACATAAAAAAAAAACAACAACAGTAGAAGTGGCCTCTGCTCTTTGTGCATAGGCAAACATTCTGTTCTTTAATACAGGAGGAGTAAAAGACCTGGAATGTGCTAAAGCTGTATTGTTTTACTTAAGAAATATAATTATTTTATTAAAAAATAAAAAAAATCACATCAGGTATCAACCATACACTGTATAGTACAAACTAAGAAAAGATTTGGCTTTTTGAGTACCACCAGGTCTACATGCAAACTATATGGTAATTCTAATGATTAACCTAAAGGAATTAATAGTGCTGTGTCTCTAAATAAAATAAACATACCTGCAGAGGCAGTTTGTGTACCACCAAGTACCATAGTTTGTGAAACAGTTATAAACATGTAAAAAGACAGATTAAATGAGTTAAAATTTTAATAAATACATGTTAAATAGACTTGGCAGGTTTATAAAACATCATAAAAATGTAGCATATTCAAGAATCTTCAAAATACATAATTCTAATTTAAAGCCTTTGGACATGATTACAAGTCTTCAGTGCATGACAGGGTGAACACACAGAGGCCATATTAAGTCCTTGTTCCAGCTCCCCGCCCTCCCCGGCCCCCTCTCCTCCCTCGACCTCTGACTTGTTTATTGTCCTGACGTGGTAATCGCTTCTGACGCTCCACTTTGATCCAGCCGCCCTCGCTGGCTTTAGTCTCTTCTTTTTCCTGACTGGGGTTGCCAGTCACAGACAATATACCTGGAATCGCGGGTGGGCGGATAGCTGAAGTGACACTGTAACTGTTGGAGCGTGGCCTTCCTGGTTGCCGAAAGCTTTTGTTGGTTTTATTATGACTATAGTTGCCCCTACTATGAGTCCATAGTTGCCCCCTGCTCTGCTCCCCTCCCACAGTCAAAGTGTTTCCGTAGCTGTGGTGTTTGTGGAACGGTCCAGCGCTAAGTGGCCTCTCTCGGTCTCTCTCTGAAGCACTCTCTGACGTGGTGCTGGATGGACTGCTGCCCTTTGACCCCAGATGAAGTTGGGACAGTTTAGGTGTGAGGTTTGCTGTGGGAGAGACACTGCGCTGGTCCATCCAGGGAGTCACATGGGCTTGTTTGGGAGAGCGACGCAAAGCGGCAGCGTAGGAGAAGCCCTGGCTCTCATGTGCAGACAGGAACTGAGGCAAGGTGAGGGCTTCAGAGCTGCTTATGGATTTGAGAGCAGCTTTTGGAGGTTGAGATTTCTCCCTCATCATTTGTCTCCTCTTCACAGTGTGCATCCACATTGGGTCAATATCTGAAATACACGTAGTAAAAAATAAGTGAACAAAAAATCTGTAATCAATTATTCCAAGTAGAACTAGGTCTTCAACTTCAGTACATGACAGGTTGGACATTTTTGGGGGTCAATATTTATCATAAGCAAAGTTTGGGAAAAGTACTATTGGAAAAAATTATTTTTCTGTAATACAATGAGATTTGAGCTGTAGAAGGTTAAAATATGAGCTTCTATAACTAGATACAAACTAACTACTTAAGTGTTGCAATCTCTTCATGTTCATGTTTTTTTTTGACAATATTGTACATTCAGAATAGTTTTACAGGATGATTCTGCTTTATGGTTTATTTTCTATAATCTTGTCTTTATTTACTTTAGCTTTATATTGCTCTCCAAAATTTGGTATCGTGTCAGGATTAAGTAGAACAAGGCTTGCATGAGTCACATGGGAAGTAACTAGGCAATGGCTGGCAAAATAATATTATCTAAATGCACTAATCCCTTTAACATGTTTAGGATTATACTTAAAAGAGTTCAGGATTACGACTTAAATGTAAAAGAATGTTACAGGCTGCATTTTTAAAATTTATTTTAACATTGAACAAAAACAAAAATAGACACCCTCCCACACCTCACTCCTCTGTGTAACACAATATTTTAACTGTAATGTCAAGCCCAGTCTCACATGTCCAAGAAAGGCGTCCAGCTCAAAGTCCCGTTGTTTCCCCCACAGGATGCATTTATGTGTGCAGGAAAGAAACAAATGAAGTGCATAAAACTCTTACCTGATTTAGTTCCACTGAGGTCAAAGACTGAATTCGCTGATGCCGTTTCAATGACCAATTCAACAGCCTTTATCTCATCCGGTCCAGCAATCAGGCTCCAGTTCAGTGTACAGCTGTGTCTGGTAGACTTTGGAGACTTGACATCATTCTGTTGAAAACAAGTTTTTATTAAGATAAAATGTCTACAAAAGTAAAGAATTAGCATTTGAAATGTAAGCGACTCACCTCATAAGACACCACATAGTCCACTTTTTGGTTTGGCTCGATTCCAACTATCCATTTATCCATAACGAAAGGGGGCTGCAATTTCAACATGATAAAAGGTCACAGAGTTATATCATTCTTCAGTATTACGTCCAAATAGACAATACAGTAACAGAGCTATAAGAAGCTATTGTCTCTACAGCTGTACCTTTGACATCCGCAGGGTTTCCACATCCTGCCGATTGGCATTGAACACAACATCTTTGATGTAAGTCACAGCAACATCGTCACCATCAAGTTCCATGTACATTTTCCATTTGCAGTCCTTAAAGACACAGTTAAAGCAGAGTTACTCTACACCTGAGTGATGTGAAAAGTTAAAAAGACCTCAGAGTTTCTCCTAAACCAACAGCACACCCTAGAGGTGAACAAACGCCACTGACCACAGATGTCAATTTGAATCTAATTGAATACCAAACACACAGTATTTGTATGTGGTCAACTAAATAATGCAAACAAAAAAGAATTATAAGAAAAAAACTATTTAAATAAAAAAATGTATGTAAATCTATAATAGACATGGAGCCATGTATGCAAAATGTTGCTAACATTTAGCCTTTTTTTTTCTATTTGTCACCATCATGTCATTTTCTGTGATCACTAACATGGCATGTTTATTATTTTTAAATGGAGCAGCGCTCTAGTGATCATTATGAGCCAGGACACTGACATTGGCCTCTTCTGCTACAGACTGAATGCTGACGAAGCAGTAATGATGGTGCCAATCCCCAAAAGCCCAAGCGGGAGCCACAGGTCAGTGCTTAACCACACAGGGTTCATGGCACAGGCCAGTCCATTGTGTGGTGATCACAAAGAAAGACATCAGAGGAATGGCACCAGCACACTCGTCTGAGGAGCTTTGGTGCTCTCCTCGTGCTCCCCGGGGACTGGAGGCAGCTCAAAGGGGAAGCTTCAGCAAATCTCTGGCTTCGAAACACAGCCGGGCCCCGCGTCAGCCCCACACTGGCCCTGCACTGGCCCTGGACGCTCACACCGGGCTCCCAGGTCTGCGCCACTCTAATCACTCCAACAGAAACAATGTCTGGTAATGATGCCTAGGACCCAAGTGCATCTAATGACAACTCATACATAATTCAGCACCTTTCACTTGGCTGCACGGTGATATCCTCATTAGTAGGGGACCCTCAGTGGCTGTCAGATGGTGGCCGCACAATTGCAGGCCCTCATTTTGTCTTTGAGAAGTGCAGCTGCTTCCATGACATCGCCAGCAAAGAGGGTCGAAGAAAAAATGCAGTGCGGGTTTGTTTTATTTAGTGCAAAAAACCTTCCAGTTTGTAAAAACAAGGCTGACACGGAACCTGACACCAGGCAGGGGAAAATAATTAGCTCTCATTTTCTCAGCCTCCTGTTTCCTTCTCCCCGCTGTGTTTTCTACCCACTAAACCACCACATGTCAGAAGAAATGGGAGGCAATTAGCAGGCTCGTTTCAGCCCTGCCGAACACACTGAAAGAGGACTATTTATGATGGGACAATGAACAGCTGAAAGATTAAATAACGTTTGCCTTTTAAAAAGAAAATGACTTCTGGCTAAATGGGCTATTTTTGATTAAATTCAAACAGCCAGTGAAGAGCCACCCTTTCTCCACAGTTTGAGACCCTAACAAAGGGCTGTGAGCGCGCCGAGGTGGATGTTGTACAAGGCTCAGAATGAAATGTTTATTTGTCTGCTTTTACACATGTCTACTCAAGCCTGCAATGGTCACTAACACAGCCATCGCCATTAATTCTGCATCTCTACAGCAGCACAAGGGCACCAGGCTGAACCCAATTTAGAAATATTTTTACTTGAAATGTTCCCTATTAATAATAAAAGTTATGCTCAAAATACAATGTTAAAATATGTGTGTAGATGCAGTGTTCAACGTACAGAGCTCCCTTTCCCAGGTTTCCAATGGTATCCAAACACCAGCTCCAGTTTGACCGTTTTACTCAACTCCACCTGCTTCTCCAGCTCCTCCTATGACAAATAAGAAGATCGATTAGTCAATGAGTTTATACAATGGATTTACAACTACTAACGTTGTTTTAGTCTTAAAGTGCTTTTCGAGCGTTGTCTGAAAGAATAGCATTTCTAAATGTCTCTGGAGAAAAATTATTATAATGGAGAGTCAGTACAGTAACGCAAATGTTACCTATTTTGTTTTGTCAGAATGAGCTCATACAATTGCCTTTAAAGTCTTTGCCAAAATATTTACAATAAGCAAACACAGATGCACATAA